ATCAGGTAGACAAGGACATAATGTACAAACCTTGTTTTTCGACTGGCATGGCAGGGATGCGTCTCAGTTTTTACTGAGTGACACACAGACCTATTTGCTCTCCATGATTAACATCACTCCACTGACGGATGTTTAAGAAAAGTCACTTTCATAAGACTGGAACATCCAACAACAACAACATTTGGTTTTGCCGTTTTCCTCCTTATGGTATTTTCTATAAGATCTATATGCTATAAGATGGCAACATTACAATTCTTCATTCTTGCCTTTTTCCCAGCTGGGAAAATACGACTGACAAAACAAAACAACAAAAACAAAAATAAAGCGGACGACAAATGCGTTGACGCACATCAACATCCGGCAGGTCAGGGGCTCTTCCTGTTCTACCCAGACAGAGAAAAGCAGCAGGTATCTGCGTCTTTGTATGATTTAAGAACGCTTACAGCGGTGCGTGCAGTTATTTAGGGCACGCGTGTCCCAAGCGGCGGGGAGTGGATGTCTTTAAGTGGGAACAAAGACCTTCTGAGTGAGACTTTGCGACGGAGAAGCTGCTTTGTGGAAAGATGACAAGACTAAAATCCATCAAAACACTGCTATCAGCTCCACTGATCATCGTCTGATGAGGAAGTCGCCTTAATTGGGACTCATCAATAAAATAATTCACCACATGCTCACACACAGACAGTGTATGAGGGATGAGCCTCATTAAAGAGAAGAATGCGTGAATAAAATAAAACTATAGGGAACCGAAAGCCTGAATTAAGTGGGTATATGAGGAAAAGAGCGATGACGTCTGGGACGCTCTTTAGTAATGAACGAATACAACCTGCACCCACCTTCAACCCCACCCAACACACACACACACACACACACACACACACACACACACACACACACACACACACACACACCCATATACTCATAGCCAGACAAAGGAGACACAAGCCAATAAACACCAGTAAATGTAGTGTAATGAAGTTATTGATATCATTTACAATATATAAGCCGTTTCATTTGTGTGTGTGTGTATCTGGTTCGTCCCCTGGGGAAACTGAACACACACACAGCAGAGCCCCATCTGTTAACATTGTTGACAGTTATGTGTGTGTGTGGGTGAGAGTTTGTGGCTGCAGGGGGTGTGTAAGATGGAAACAGAAGAGAACCCCAAATGACAGAAAATAAATGACACCATAGACATTAATATATGTGTGTGTGTGTGTGTGTGTGTGTGTGTGTGTGTGTGTGTGTGTGTATATTCATCTCTCACACAGTCCCACACCCTCATTAAAACCACTGAGCTCCATCTTCAAAATGAATTCCACATGAAATACCCCCATGCGGCAACAGAGACATTTTCTGTTGAAAATCCCCCTGAAGACAGACCTGAGTCCTGGGCAGCAAAAGGCAGAAAATGATTATTTTGTTCACATTAGTGTTAACGATGTGCTGCACTGCTATATATTTTTTTCAGTTGAATTTAAAATTTAAATAATCCAAAACAGGTTAGTTTCGACCTGTCACCTCTCCCGTCCGCCTTCCATCACGTCTACTTTTCTGACGGGCCTCTCCACGGTGTTCGTACCTGCTGTACGGATTACTGAAAGCACCCGCAGGCTTTACTTCCGCCTCATGACAGCCTGAGGGCCGCATGATGTTTGATCCAGCGCTAAGAGATTAGACCAGGCCCGCAATTCTGCACTGGCTGAGTAACACTGGTCCACAAGCCTTACCGCCAATCCTCCAGCCATTAGCCCGAAACGGCGGCCCGTCGCGTAGCTTGTTAATGTCAAACTTTGCGTCTAATGAGGGAAGCGCTCCGACTCCTAAGTGGCAGTGAGAGTGCAGCTAGACGCTCGCCCTTAAACTTTACAACCCCTCTGCACCCGTACTTCTAAAGTAACTCCCGGCTAATGCGTGCGCCCCCAGTCCAGCTCCTCGGCTTTCGTTAAGGGCTTTCGTTCGCTCCTAATGCCCAACTTCTCTGACTCACATTATCTCCGGGAAGTCGTAGAAAATTGGATGCGGAGGAGCTAATAACAGAGGTGGGGGCGCGAGTGACGGGAAGAGAAAGGGAAGGGTCCAGGAACCTCTGCAGCCTCCCAATGATCTGATGAAACTTTGGGGATTCAAAGTGTAGTGCTGCTATGGAGACTGCCCTGAGAAGCACCAAATGTCCAGTGAACCTCTTTCCCCCTTTTCCTTAACGGTGGCGCGACCAAGAGAGGTGGGTGGGTCCCTGATAAGACAGGTGATAAAGGGGTTCAGAGGTGAACGCAGAGGAGTCTGGGGGGGGGGACAAGGAGCCACACAAGCAGATAAACGGACGGCTGACGCTGCGTCATGTGACGCATCCCTGCCACGCGCAGCACTGGGGCGGTCAACCTAAACGGTTACATAACCGGTCCTCTGAAGTATCGCAAGCTGCAGCCGACACACGAGGGTCACTGGGGAGAGCTGGGAGGCTCACAAGGAGCCTTTTTTCTTTCCACCCGTGACCACTTCAAGTCAGATCTGTTTGGTGCTGCTTTAAAGACAGACTGAACGAAACCCCGGCAGCCAGAGATTTATGGAGCGGAACACCGGCAATGAAATCAGAAACACTGTGAGCACCCAAGAAATGTGTTTAGCCAGAGGACAATCGACAGTTACAGAGCAGAAAACATCAGGGACAACACGCCGAAGAGACAACACGCCAGAGGCAGCGACTTGTGGGAGCGGATACTAATCAATTTTGCAAATCGCCTGCTCTGAGATATTTAAAAAATCCATTTGTAATGTTGATTTGGGAGACGGGGGGGGGAGCAAACCCAACACAACCCAACCCAAATTGAGAGGTTATCAGTTGGGGGACAAGCAACTCAATCTGGCAACGCGATAACGCGGCTGTGTGTGAATGTGCTCACTCCCGTGCATTTAAAAAGGCATCGCGTTTTAACGAAAACACTGCATCAAAATAATAATAAGATCTGGCCCCGAACATAATGTCCTCTGATGGCCGAGTATCAAAGTGGAGAATCAGCACGGAATAAAGTAACCTTCCATCCCAATATGCCCTTTTACGGTGTGTCAGTATTCAGACTGTCAGTATTCCAAAAGATTGTTAAATAAATCAGAGGGTCTCCAGAGAGGAAAGCAAAACACTGAAGACTCCTTTTAAACTCGGCTCAACCACAAAAGCAAACAGCTCGGGTCCAAGAGAAAGTCTTTCAGTACCCACTCTAGACTTTGGAGCAGACGGAGGTCCCTCCGGCTAATTCTTCCCAAAATGTACAGTAATTAGGTTCCCTGGCTGATGTACGCACATGACATGACACATCCGTGTGATGAAACACACATTCTTATCTTGGCCCCGATCTCTGAGTGGGACTAAGAACAATCTGGATACTAGCAGTTATCGGGGATTGTTTTATCTATCAAACAAAAAGTGCAGTGCTTTCTCCACAGCAACAGTACACCCCATTAGGCTGTGATAGAACGTGCCATTCTCTTCTATCTATTTCTATCGCCGTCTCTGTTTTACCCAGCGAGCCAGAGGACGTGAATGTGGTGTGTTTATTTGTTTTTTTTGGACTGTTGTTGGCTGGAAGTTGAAGTTCCCAGCAGCAGCGTTTGTGTCTCCTACCGGCAGTCACAGCAGAAAGGCTGGGTTTTTACTGTCATAAGATACAGTCCACTGAACCACTGGTGAACCAACGGACCGTTTGTGGAGAAACGGGATAGACCACTTTAATAGAGCCCAGAATCAGATAGAGATATAGATAGATATGAGAGCACCGTCATATCTATGATTCTTCTTATGCAGGAAAAAACGGTTTAAAAACAGAGCTAACCAATAAACATTTCATAGTGATGACGTTATCGTTCTGTTATTTGCTTTACACACAGAAAAAATGTCACACAATGACTCTGATCATCTCACAGGTCAACCAATCTTTTATCCGGAGTCGACCCCTGACCCAATTATCCCAATCACACGGCCAGGGTTAAATATGCTCCGACACTGGCTGGTAGCCATTAATCCAATGGTAAAAGTAATAAATCCAATGCCACAGTAAGATGCATGTGGATATGATATATTTGAGAAAAGGAAATGATGATTCCATTTGCTCTTCAGAAGGAATCAAAGACAACTAAAATCATCACACTGAATGAGAAAAGCAAGCAAGCAAGTTGTGATGCCAAACAGGAAATTCTCCAGCAAATATGCTGTGTTTTTTTCACCAACCATAGTTCAGAGGAGATAATATCAATAGAACATAGAATTTCTAAGATGTTTTGAGTCGCGTCCCTTCCTCCAAGATGAGACATGAATGATTCATGTCTGCCCCACTTTCCTCTCCATCTTAAGACTGCAGTTTTGTATTCCCTGTGCAACCTGCCACTGATGCTGCTCTTACCTGTGACTACCATGTCATTCTACGTGCAGCAGCAGCAACAGATCTGTTAAAAGTTAACAGATTCATAACTTTTGTCAAGTTTTGAGGGTTCATAAATAAGCCGCTTCCAGCTCACCCGCTGGCACCACTTGAGAAAAACACTAGCTGATGATGAGAGCTGCTGAAACCCCCTCACAGTTGACCTGATTCACAGAACGAGGCTCTGCCCATTGCAGAGGAGGAAAACTGCAGCGGCAGCAATTGGATTGAACCGTGGAGGGGAAAATGACAGGGGTCAAGCTTCACTTGAGTAGAAGAAGTTCTGTAAAATTGGAAACAAGACTGCTCTGCTCATGCAAAACTTGAACAACGGCGCACAAAGAGCGGTGTTGAGGCCTTACTTCCAAAGCACCCACAGGTTCCACTGGGTTGGCAGGATCCACTTAACAAGACAGACATTTTCATAGCAAACTCACATTAAGGCCAGTGAGCCAACCAGCATCATTAGAGGCCAGACAAAACCGCCGCGTTCTGCGTCGTGGCTAGACTGCTGATTTAAAATGAGTCACAGGCGCAGAGACGTCTCCCGAGAGGACGGAGGCGTTTCCGTCGCGACCCGCTTACCTGGACCTGCCCTTTGCCCATGATCTTGTCCACGATCTCGTTGTCGTCCTTGTTGAGCATGCTCTTGTCGTAACAGTTCTCGTAGCACAGGATCCGCAGGTACTGGGAGCCCTCCAGCTCGATCTCAAACTCCTGAGCAGCAGCACAGAAAAGGAGAACGGCACACTTAGCGATCGCTTAGCGGCAGAAATGCAGAGGATTTGTGGTAAAAGCAGAAGGGAACTGACTTCGTTCCACTGCGGCTCGGAGGTGTCCCGGAAGACTCGGGTCTTGGCCTTGCTGACAAAGTATCCATACGAATCCACTTCAAGGGTGCAGTATAGATCTAGGAGGGGAAACAGATCCATTAGGAACACTGGAAAACACTAGAATAATTGAGTTTCACTGTGGAGTCAAAGGACATGTTTGTTAATCCCATTGTCATCTGGCAGCAAAAGTGCCGCTATTGACCAGTTATTACATCCATTAGAACAGACGTCCCTGTATAGCTGTCTTCTCAAAGAAGACTTACAGGCAAAAATTCCATTTAATTATATTCAATTTTCTCTACATTAAAGCCATGTATCAATATTGTCCAAAACGCAAAATAATTACATACAATCTGCCAGTTATTTTCCCAATTGCAGAGACCACGGCGAGGTGGTTATTGTTCAAAGTCATGCGTTCATCCGTTTTCAGCTTTTTACTTGCAGCATATGCAGGACGACTCATCCCTTTGAGTGAAAGAACCTCTGGGCTGCCAAAAGCCGCCCCCCATGTCTGCTGCGCTAAAGGCGTCACTCTGTAACATGTGCATCAGCAGCAGGAAAAATATAAATACAGACTGATTCAATTTCTCTTTCAAAAGTGTCACCTGTGTCATCAAGTAGAAAATGTGTCAAAGCAAAAACTTTGAAAAAGAGGCTTTGAGGAGTTGAGCGTCTAATTCTGGCATCGGATTTAATGACTCGGCCCTAAAAAGGTTCACTTTGTCAACGTGTTGACCGACATCAGTCTCCTGCCTGTGTGCACACACTGCCGCTACAGCCACGTACCCCCCCCGCGCCGCCCCCTCTCCCTCGGGATAGACTCACGCTCAATTCTTACACGGAGCAATTAAGTCTGTTAATGTGTTTCTTTACAATGCGGCTGCACACCTCGCTGCCGGCTGTCTGATAAGTGTCAGTGGACCCCGTCCCTCGGGGTGCACTCCCCTCCCCCGTCGGACAACATGATGGATGGACGGATGGATGCACGGCCCGACCTTTCACTACGAATCTCACATGCGTACGAAACACTGAGGGAGGTTTACACGGCGCCATCTTAACAGCCTAAGCTGGGCCTTGCTTCATGTTGTCACGACAACGACCGCGTATAACCTGACGGCACTGCGCGGCCTGCTGGAACCGCGTCCCGTCTGGTTTCATTTCCCATTTGTTTGTTGTCCCAGCATCCTGAAGGGCTCTGGCATCATTGCTCCCAATGAGGAAGAGCTCAGCGCCGGTGGCATGAGGGACGTTTGGCAGGGAGGAATTCAGCGCGACCCATCTGGGGGACATTTGTTTGAATGAAGCGATCGTCGGACAATTCCGCCGATCAAAACCCCTCCAATAAAAGGCATTTCCTTCAGGCACGGCTGCAATCTGAACTTATGGGTTCTCTCGGATGGGAGAGCGCATTCATAATTTTGAGCAAGTCCTCTGCATCTGCAATGGCTTTATTTGGCCTGGACGTACATTTCAAACAAGGCCAGCGAGAGCATATTTAGAAATGATATTTTTGTGTCCTTGCAGCAAATCCAAGAGGGCTACGGGAAGTAGGACGGACTCCATGAGCCCTGGAACCTCATACTTTATATATTTTCCTGGCAGGTCACCAGCAGGCTTCGACTGTGCGACTGGCTCGGGGGGGCGTAAATCGGTCGGTGACCCCCAAATGCATGGGTTAACGAATACCATCCTCTTCCATCTCAATTAACTGCAGGCCTTGCGTGTGTTTTTATACAGCAGGCTAATCTCGGCCCGAGGCGGTGCTGGATGCTGGGTCAGACTGCGGGTTCACAGAATCAGGAGACAAGTCAGTTAAAGTGAGCAGCGTCTCCAAAGCTACAAGTCACATTCACCAGAGCAGCTGTGGTTTGCTCGAAACGTTCCAGGAGAACACAATGAGGGGGAGAGGCGTAATCTAATTGTTTTTTTATAGCATCCAGAAGGAGAGAACTAATAAAAGAGCAATGCAGATTTCATCACACAACAGTCTTGAGAGCATATGGACACTTCATTGTGACAAAAACTTTTGTTCTGATTCATGTGCAAAAGGCACTGTTAAATGTTAGTTCGGGAGCGAGGGACCTGTAATTCCATTATTAGCGACATATGTAAAAGCGCAAGAATTTTGTTGATTTGAATCTGCACGGGTAGCAGCAGCTGCTGAGCCCGTCTGGAGGATGGGGGATGTCACTTGTGGATACTTAAAAATAAATCAAGAGCAAAGTGAACATTTTTTCCACAGTTGTTTTTTTTATTTTTATTCTACCACAGAGTTTTCGACTTCCTGCTCTTTCCTTCTGTGACCCAGTTTGACTACTTGGCACGCGCACGCACGCACTCAGAAAAAATATTACAAACATCCATCTATCTCTGAACGGTGTTAACGACGCACTGCTGACACAACTGTCTCAGTTGAAGTCAGCTTCTTCAAGAAATGTTTTCAGGGCACCGAGGCTGCGGTATCTGTCAAAATATGACGTTTGAGCTTCAGAAATGAACCGCCTTTAAAATAATTCAAACCAGACCACGCAAAGCTAAGTCAACTTATAAGCCATACAGAGACTTTATCAGAATCATTCAACTGTTGTAAGCGGTTAAAAGCAAACGGATTATATTCATTAAAGGTATTGATTGCGTGATAATAGCGTCAGTGTACCCTGTACACTTTGCATTAAATGTTTAACTACCGATAAACAGCTGTTGCGGTGAATGAAAGGTTGGGTGAACCTTGTTTTAGCATCATGGCTGCAGCCGGTACACTCTCACAGATGTATAAACACTTAAGCACCCACACAGCAAGTTCCAAAACCAGTAACATACAGCTGCATTGTGGGTGCTGCAGCATGAGAGTCCGTTTTGAGCAAAGTGAACAACAGAACGTTGTCGTGTGGACTGAACAGAAGCATAAATTAGAATGAGTTATGGCATGACCCACCGATATGTCTCTTTTCCCTTTATATGGATTTATGCAGTTGATTCTGAAGCTTTAGCTGCAAATATTAATAACATTCATGCTCTTGGGTTATGATTTCATTGAACACATAGGATCAGTCCTGTCTTTCCGCCTCGCTGCCGTGTCATCGACCCGTTCGTTCCCAAACGGTGTCATTATTTTCGAGCAGATTTGCTCTCCACCTTTCACACATGGAGTGTTGACTCCCGTGTGTAGTGGTTTATTAGGACAAATAATTGCGGCAGCTACAGATGTGTAACATTCATCTATTTTCAAGAAAGGCGCTTGTGTAATTACCACTGTCGTCGTCATCACCACCACTAGAGTAGCAACAGCGACAGATAGCCCGCACTAGCTTTGATGCCCCCCCACCTCGACATGCCTCACTGAACACACTGACATCAAACGGTCTCTGCGGCGCCACCGAACCTTCACGTACGCACCAACACACACCGTCTTCATTTTAAACCCCCTCAGCTTCACTGAGGATCAAACAGACGTTCAGAGGAGAGAGCTTTCCAATACATTTCCTGGGAAATTCTAGCGGGCCATATCTCATTTTCCAAAGGCTGTCATGGCAACAGACAAAATCACATTTCTTCATCTCGTTCTCTTTTTCAGATATTTGTTATTTGAACTGGTGCAAAGGGGCAGAAAAAGTACCGAAGCAGCTGTCCACACGTCTGCCTGGATCTGCCAACTTCACACTCGCCGGATTGTTATACGAAGGGGCATTCGTGTCCGAGGTACGCTCTGTCAGAGACAACTGCCAACAGTTCAGTTCCAAAATGATCTCTCTCCTTATTCATGTGTCTTGTGAGTGATTTTATGACGACTGCTAGAGTGAAAACAACCACAGGAATTGCACTCTGGCCCTCACTTCTCCTCTGAAACGCTCTCTCTTTCTCTCCCTCTCCAGTTCTCTCTCCCCCCTGCTTCCTCTCTAATCATGTATGCTCTGAAACGCCGTCCATCCATCTGACCTCGTACGTTCTGCTGGCAGACGTCTACCTGTACGGCCGCTACGTGCGGTGAAAACGTTTGTGGCCGACTTACTGGCTGAGTCCTTGAATCCTTTGGCCGAGTGGACGATCACATGCAGGAAGCCGTACAGGCCGGGAGTCTCCTCATCTGGAAAACAAGCACACAGAGAGCGGTGAGGTCCTCGGGTCAATATGTTGAGGCGTTGTAGCTATAACGTCTTTCAGAATCAGGTTGTGTAGAAAAAGGCACCGCTGTGTCGCTTCAATCTGCAGCAGATATCATACACAAGATACATAAGATACTTTTTAGTTAGAAAACAGATGCGGTCCCGTTTCATCCTCTGTTGCCATGACGGCATGTAAGCGTTAACTAAGCATCCCCTCTTAATATCTGTAAACCAATACCAATTATAGGTTTCTCCTTGGTTTCTGTAGATGAAACCTGTCAACGACCGCAGCAGGACACACAGTCTTATATGGACATATTGGATGGTACTTTTGGCTTTATATCTGACACGTGGGAATTGTCAGGCAGAAAAGAGACATTTAAAGACAAGTTTGTGCACTTGAGACTTGAGAGAATACAACATGACACAGACTTAACTATTCTTCTTAATGTATAGAAACATCCGCACGTTAAAAAAAGACCCGGATAATCAACAAATCCCTGCTCAGTGGGAAGCCTGGGTGCTTTTTTTATTCATTTCAGGTTGGGTGGTCTGAAATGTGCACAAACGTATGACTATCATGTCCAACAACGGTTCTCACCCCTTCCAACACCAAGTCACCAATTTCTGTTATCATACGTCAAGCTTCCCATCAGATCAGTATCAGGCCTCACGTCAACAAGCAGTCTTCTGCCATAACAAGCGGCTGGACGTTTGGTGGACGTGTGTTGGGTGGCCTCTTGCTTTGGTTGAGGCCTGTGAATCCTGGTAAATAAACTGAATGTGTGCAGGCGGCTGTGAGGAAGCCGGTCACAATGTGTGGTGTGTGTGTGTTGTGTGTTGTATTGAACAATGGGGGTGACGGTGCAAAGGTTCAGCTTCGAGGTGGCCCATGTGCCTTTTCTCCGTGGGGATAAACTCAACACAAAAAGGCCCCAGCCACTGGGCGGGTTTGAACCCACGACCTTCTCGCTGTGCAGCACCACACCACCGTGCAGCCCCTGATCGATGAAGTAATACGTGACAATTGCTACCACTATGGGAAAGAGTTAAATAAAAGAGTGTCTGTCTAATGGTCTCTGCAACATCGTTCATGGTCATTGTTACATTCCTTCACCACCTGGTCTCTATTTAAACCCCTACTTTGCTTCTTCAAGTCCCCGAGGTGTGGGTTTACATTTGCTTTACACCGAGGAGTGTTTTCCAAAGTCCGCGAGTCCTGAGCTCTGTCCGGGGAAATATCAATTGCCTGGGAAAAGACGGAAGGTACCACGTTGACCTGAAACTAAACGACAGAACTGTTACCCGACCTCACAGTCCATCCGGGTTAGAGGAGATGTCCTGCCTAAAGGTATGTTTTGATTGTAACATTAGACAATTGTTTTTGTAATGTTCCTTTTATTTGCCTTCTGATTGAGGAGTTAGTGTTTACATGACGTGATGTGGCAGATTCAGCCGCTGTCCCTGGGAAGCCCTCTCCCCTCACCCGCAGGGCTGCAGCCCATTCACATCCCCACTTAGACCGCCACTCTGCCTCCAAAGGCCGGGATAGAGCCGCTGCAGAGAGTTATTTTTTGTTATTCTGGTAGAGGGGGGTAAAGGTCGATGTGTGTGTGTGTGTGTGTGTGTGTGTGTGTGTGTGTGTGTGTGTGTGTACATGTGTAACCCACAGCTGACCAAGAGCTAGATGGATAAATGAATAGTTGATTGAACACAGAAGTGAACCGAGGGGTAAACTGTGTTTGTGGGATAATCCGTTGGGTCCGTAGGAGCTGATAGGCAGCAGCAGATGATTTTACAGCAAGTTTATGTCCAGGCTGTTCCCACCAAATTCATCTGACACTTTAAGCTCTTGGGGAGTATCTGCTCCTGAGTTGGCTCCCAAAAAAATTTCAATACCATTTGTTAAACATTGGCAGTTTCATTTCTGGAATAGAAGAAGGAAGCTGGTAATTCATATGAGCACAAAATCGGTCACAGTACTGTGCTGGAAATTCACTAACTTCATCAAAAGTTCATCAAAATTCATCAAAATGCTAAATTGAAATAAAGCCCCAGGCTTACTCGCACAGAGATATCGTTGTTTCAGAAGCAAACACGGGTCTCTTTCTCTGTACAACGCAAGAAAGATTTGGACAGTGTTCCCTTCAGTGGCTTTAAGGCCCCTCGTCAGCTCCGTGGCAGTTTGTGTGTATTGTGCGTGCATGTGAAAGCAGAGACCCTCGTGCCATTTCGGGAGATCAGAGAAGGTCGACCAGATGGCTTTAATGTCACCACGAGCCTCAGAGTGGTGCAATGTGGAGACCTGGAGAAAAAACAAACACAAAGAGGCCAAGAGCGCAGGCCACCGCCGGCACACTGCGTGGCATTGACTGCTAGGAGCTAGATGAGAAACATATTGTAACCTAGTTCTCTCCTGCAAGCCCCCCTCCCCCCCTCCCCCAATTGCATGGCTGCTCGTTGTGTTGAGTGTAACAGGCCTTTTTAATCTCAAAGCAAAGAGGAAGGTGTGTGTTCGAATGCGGCTTAAGAGAAGGAGAAAACCGAGACACACGAAAAACATCCGAGCATGAGGGGACAAGAACAAAAAGATGCTGTGTGCAAGTTTCTTACCGTCTTTGTTACTTGTGACCGGAATGTTGTGGACGGTTCGTAGTTTGAAACAGGAGCTGGTCAGGACCTGAAGCTCCACAGAACTCAATACACACGCCTGGAGATCTGAAACACACACACACACACACACACACACACACACACACACACACACACACACACACACACACACACACACACACACACACACACACACACACAGTGTCAAACTTTTCCTTTTTTTGAGGTAGAGTGGTTGTAACCCGCTTCTAGGGGAAGCTCAGTGTTTTTTTTAAACACAGAAATGACCTGTAGCCCAATTACCTTTCTTCTGCAGTTTCTGGATGCTTTCCCTCCACTCCGACCTCTCGTAATCAGAGGATATGAGGAACTGGTAGCTCTTGATGCACACAGAAAACCAAGAATGTTAAAGACCTCAAGAACCAATACAGAAATTACTATTGGACAAGACTGTGAAAGAATCATTTTAACTTTGACAAAAAGCCCCAAAAATGTGTAATTATCGCACGTTTAAACAGTATTTTTATTCTGGGAACTTAAATCAAATCTGTCGAGGGGCTATTTCAAATGGGAGTGTCTCCCTCTAGAGGTGAGACTTGGGATTGGATCACACAGTACCTTTCCATGTCTGTTGTGGATGCGGAAGGGGATGGTGGGAGAATGCAGGAGCAGCCACGACTCCTGTTCGTTCATTTTCTTTCTCAGGCGCTCCACGCGACTCTGACCCTTCGGTGCTTTCTAAAACACATGTGCACAAAGCAGGCATTCAGAATCTCAGACCTGAAACACTCATCAAGTGAAATACTAAACATTGCAATAGAGCCTCTAAAACAGAGGTTGTGGGGCAACGAGAGTCTGTTGGTCTAGCTGGCATTTATTTATTAACACCCAACATAATGATACAAATCAACCTTTTAACAATCCACAAATCTCCTCAGAAATCCCAGACGAAAATGTTTTAATAACCTATTCAAAATACAATAGTTTTAACTACGTCATTACTTGCATCAGCGTAGTATTCTTTAACGACACATTTCCCATTTTTTCGAAGACAACAACACTGTGCCGTGAGAGTCATGTAGTTATGTAATTCGAGGATCTGGGCTTCCAGTCAGCATTGAAGGAAAATAAATAGACACTTCCTCCCTGCCCTTAGCAGGAAGCCGTGAGTCAGAGCCTGGATACAATCAGCTGAACCTCCCACTGCTCGGAGCTCCTCTGATTCCGAACACCAGCCGCGGTCACTCATTGTGCCTCCAGGTGGAGGGGGGCGAGTTACACGCTGTGAGGGGAATAACAGGAACTCTCTGCTCCTGAAGCCCCCAGTGTGTCTCAGCCTGGCTGGCCCGTTCTGGCCCGTTCTGGCCCGTTCTGATTCTTTGGCCAATGCTCAGTGCTGAGCATCATTTCCCTTTGAACTAGTGAAATGACCACAGCAACTCATTCTAGTTCTGTGGTTTCCGCACTGATTGAAACAGGTCGATTTAGCATTTTCCCCCAGTTTGAGAATATACTACATATTTTCGGATGTCCCTGCATGCCCTCACAAGAGTCGCAAGTCACCGTATGAAGTGATCAATAAATAAGTGGCTATGCAAAGTTCAACAGAACTGACCAGTGGAAACTTCCCTGAGTCATATGTGTTTATTGTAACAATATGAACCCCGCATTTTAAAAGGAGCTTTGGAAGGGCCATAGAGATGACAAAAAATCCCATTGAACAACAGGACTACCTTCTCTTTCTGTATCTCACTCTTCAGAACGGAGATCTTGATCTTCATCTCCTCGATCTCGTGCTCGGGGAGGACCTGAATACTGGGGCAAGACTCTGAGTCGTCCAGGGTCTGGAAAGTCAAGTCCGCCAGAGGGAGGTACCACTTGCACTCGTACTGCTGATGGCGACTGCAGGTGGACAGAGGAACACGATAAGTGAAAGGGTCATACAGCAAATCAACAAATCAGTGGAAACTAACATTTGTGAATCCACAGGACTAGTGCAAAGAAAAAAAGCCTGTCTAAACTCGTCATGATGACCACCAACCAGATATCATAATCTCTGGGTAAATTGGACAAAGCTTTACTGGAGAGAGATGATATCACTGTTCACGTAAATGTAACATTAGAACGTTTTTTTTTTTTTAAAAGCTGAAGAGGGAAAAGGAGAATTGATTAATTGAACAACACACATCCTCCCTAATGACACCCCTATTAGAATTATGGGTGCACAGTCAACTCATTACCAGACCAGAAGGCCATTTGATTCGCTCGTTAATGAGAATCCACGCTGGAATGAAATTCTCACATGAGACGACAAAAATCCCGGGGAGTGTCAATAAAAAAAAAAAAAGATCCAATCAGGCCAACAGCTTCCGCCGCGCTGAAGGAGCTAATGTCACGCAGTCCTGTAGCATCTACACACGTTTGTCTTCGCTCTATCCCCCATGTGAGTCTCCCTGTCTAAGTGTGGCTTCAAAAAGACGGCGACGAGGAAGGCAGAATAAATGAGACACTGATGGGACACACCCGGAGAGGGTGGATGTTCAAATGGCTCTGTGCTTACACACGGCTATGGTCCTCTGGATGGAGAGAAGAAGCGGACTCACCCCACAGCGGTCTTCTTCATCTTGGCACAGAGCAGCAGGTCCGTGAAGAGGAAGACATGCCGGAGCTTCCTTGAGCTTTCCGACACCTCCACCAGGAAGCCATCCTTCACCAGCTGACGAGCCTAGAGGAACACCAGGTGTCACTTCTACGTGTACTACCAGCGCATGCGCAAAGCTGCTTAACACAACGCGGAATAAACAATGCTGAGTGAAAAAAAACAGATCAAAACATTTCGTGAATGTATTCACCTGAATTGGAAATGCAATTCGAGATCCCTTGGCTGACACTTAAGACCCCCCAAAATCGCAAATATTCGAGGGGTCTCTTAAATCATTGGACAATTCATTTAAATCATTGAGCCAAATGACAGCATCTAACTCAATCAAGTCAATCATCATATTTTGGGCTCTGAAGAAAAAAAAAAAAAAAAGTTCCTCTGCAAATAACCACACACACACACACCTCTCCCTTGGGCGTGGTGACGGCGGTCCTGCGAGGGTCGATCTCCTCGTTGATGGACGAAAGGAAGTTCTGAGATATCCGCAGAGCGTCCTGCAGGAGCGGGAAGTCCGGGTGGTCCTTCGGAGTGTGTTTCAGCAAGTCCTGCAGAACGCACACAAACAGAGATTGTGACACAGACGCCTTCCATGCATACAACTTTACATCACATAAACAGTTATTGTTGCAGAGGTAAACAAACGTCTTATCCTCCATATTGTTATAAATCCTTTCACTTCAAAATAATCCATCAAAGCATTAGCAGTAACCCTGATTGAATGTGGCTTTCTTAATTTATATCATAATTGTGCTGCGGGTTTCCTTATGAATAGTTAAGTGATCTTTGAAAGTCCAATATGCTTGAAGCTGCTGTCATCAGCACAGCAGGATGGAGAGCAGGGCAGAAGCTCCTCCTCTCCAAAACAATCACCGCTTGGTTTGCATGAATGACAGAAGCAGTCCTGCATGCACCTGGTCAGGTTGTTGCTTCTACAGCTTCGTGCAAGCGCAGTCCGTGACTAGACAAATGTCTTTCTGCTTGCTTGATTGGCAGTTACCACCTCATTATTACTCATCCAAAGAGGGAGGCCTATTTAGGCTGAGAGGCTGCGATGAACAACACAAAGCAGGCTCACATTCTTCAGCTCTTGGGCTGCTTTGTGGAATTGCTAAACATTAATTAAGGCTTTGTAGTTGGGATTTTTTCTGGGAGGAGAGAAGAGTCTGAGAACTCTGAGTACTGAGTAACTGTGTATTTGGGTGTGAGTGAGTGTGAGAGAGTTCACCAATTTTACAAAACAAAACCATGAAACATATTTTCTCACTTTTGGTGCAATATGGAATAACGCCGCCCCTCTAATCCCAAACAATTATTTAGATAAGACAGACACTGAAAAAGGGAAAATCCTTCTTTTACTAGTAACAACACACTGGCATCTGAAAGGTGACACGAGGCCACAACCAGGCACAAAGGGCCGGATGGGGGTCACAACAACCCCAGAATATTAAGATCTACCAGTTTAGTTTTGCCGGTGATTCATAAAAATTTAGGAATTATATGAATGTGAAAAGTAAACAATACAGTCAAACAAATGTAGTGTATTATATTTCCATAGTATGCGTTTATTAAACACTAAGGTAAAGTGAAAGTTCCTCAAATAGTGCCAAACCATTACGATGTGTGTCTCACGGTGACATAAATGATCAGCGCGCCCCTTTTCTATAAATTGGGGGGGAACGATCTTTTAAAGTCGTGGGAGGGTAAGAAGTGCACTGTACTCACATGTAGAACCAGGGTGCTTCTGGTCACACGGTCAATGGGCTTGTAAAGGAGAGCTGTGTGGAGAGAAAGGGAGGGCTGTGAGTCACTGTCGCTTACACACACACACACACACACACACACACACACACACACACACACACACACACACACACACACACACACACACACACACACACACACACACACACGAGGTCACAGTTCCACAGCTCTAATGGGGACAAAGACTCACTCTCGGATCTCAAGTTAAACTTCAGACTGACTATATGATCCTTCGTTGACGACATTCAACTTAGTGACAGTCAGCATTCATTGCCGGGACGCAACCGATAATTCTTTCTATTCCTATTAATGATACCGGAGTTTTGGATTAATACCAATAAGCTGTATGCCTCTATCTGCGTGCAAGGGAGTATTCCAATGTTTTCGACACAGTTTAAGGCTGCACAGCCTCACATGGATAGTTTCCTCTATGGAAAGCTTTGCTGTCTGTATCTGACATACAAGAGAGCTGTAGATGACAAACTCCCACCGTCAGGACAGAGCGAGGCCTGCGAGGGAACAGAAGCAGCTGACAATGTTCCACTCGCCGATCAAGCTAATCTCCTTTCATTATAGAGCAAACTTAACGCAACTAATTAATAAAAGCCAAGGGAAGAGACTTGTGTATGCACGGCTAGTCGTCCCAGACAGGCAGCACTCAGCGTCCTAGAAAGAGGGAGAAACACTCCACACTATTCGGTTTAACCCGTTGAACATTGCTGCAGTGGATTGTACAGCAACACCTTCCGTCTCTCCTTTCATCTTCTCTTCTGTACCCTCACTTACAAGTGCTCTACCTCTTTTCTCTTCTTTAACTGAAAAGAAGTAAAAAAAACGGACCTCCAGGGAGCATGTTTCTATCCCCCGATAGGGCTGGTCACAGCAAGCGTTACACACCCTCAAATGCTCAATGCACACACGCACACGGACAACCAGGCGGCCACCAACTCTTTCGTTATGTGGGTGAGCCTGTCCGTGATCACCTCAGGTGCAGAGATTTCGGCTGTCCAGGTGACTTTGGGTTACATTGGGTGCAGTGTTAGTACTGTGCTCTATATGTACATCAGCAGGATTGTTTGGATGTACTTTGTGCCGCATGTGCGAAACTAGTTTTGACAACAATGCTAACATTTGAGCAAAATGCCATGCTAATGTCAGCAGGCTAACATGCTCGCAATGAGAACGATAACAATGACGGTGCCGTCAGTTAAGGGATTCCAAAAGTCTGTATGATCTGTCCGTGGAGGATCACGAATATCTATCAAATCTAATCCATCAAAAAAAAGAGGAGATATTTTTGTCCGGACGAGGTCCCACTGCGGCCATAGAGAGATCAATAACAGCTTCCACTGCAAACTTCAAAGTCTAGTCAGGAGACGGGACGCGAGAGGAAGACTGAGAGAATCAGGGAGGAGGCGGATTATTGGAAGTCGATGAGCCGTGGCAGCGAGGTGCCTCCGATTGGTCCTGTTCTCAAGGTCGTCTCGGCGACTTGTCTGGTGGACAGTTAGTCTTTGCTAAGGAGGGGGCGGACCATGTGGGCGAGGCCTTTGAGCAACATCACACTGCATGGGGGGGCTGCCAGCTTTATATGGCATAAGACATTCAGCCGCCAGTGTGCAGCAGGAGCCGTGACGGAGGACACGGAGAGGATAAAGCGATGGGAGGGAAAAGAAAACGGAGCAAAAAGCAGTCACAATTTATATGTAAAACAGGATGTAGGATGTTTGATTTAACACACATAATGCTATTTGTAGAACCAATAGGCGGGGGCTGGCAGATGAAGCAGTGAGCTATATGTAAACCTGTCTGACTAATTGATTAATTTCAATGAAGAAAATGTGCAAAGGCTTAGGGAAGGTTAGGTATCTGCTTAAAAAAAAAAAAGAGGGCACAGGTGTTACCTGGCCAGGTAATTAAGGAGCACAAAGCGCAATCAAAGCAACTGGCCCTGCCGGGAGCTGAGGAACACTGAGGAAATATGAGCAATCACAAAGCAGTTCAGTAGATGACACCGTCTCTGCAGTACGGGGGGAAAAACTAATGTAAAACAATCAGCAAGTTTGGGTTAATCCTCATTTACAGCGCACAAATTAAAGAGACTTTTCACAGGTACATGAGGCTGTTAATTGACCGACACACACACACACCCTCTCCCAGCCTGGCAAAGACCCACAGTTTACTCATTGTGTCTATTATTGCTTCTAAAAAAACAGCAGAGCACAATCAAACGAACACAGATATTAACTCCCACACGGATCACACTCCCTCCGATCCTCTGTCGATTAGCGAGGTCTGATTATTGTAACTCCGTTATTCTATAAGTTGAGATGGCATGAACAACTGTAGCCTGTGAGTCCTTATGAGCTGCATATTCTCAGAGGATCATCACTCAGCAAGCACACAAAAGCTCCGGCGCTCCGAGAGATTTCATCACCTCATCACGCGGACTGCTGCACATTAACGTAGCAGAACGATACTATTTGTGCTTCACCAGCACCGGTTGTTAACGCTCCGAATACAAATCAAGTCAACGGCTGTCCCGAGCTCACAGCGCACACCGTGAATCCATCAATAGAGATTCAATGACGACGGAGAGAGAAACGACAGAGAGAAAAAAACAATCCGACGAAACATAAAATAACGTTACCGTACGTGCAGTTGCAACACAGTCTGATGACCAGAAGCACCTCCATATCCCTCATCCTCTCTCCTCACCGTGCTCCCCTGCTCACTGCCTCCGTTCTCAGGAAGAGACGCACGCGCACAGACAGAGAGAGGGGGAGAGAGAGCGAGAGCGAGAGAGACACACACACACACACACCTTACCCTCCATTGAGACACTTGTGGTACAATCTTTGGAGTCTTTGGGACCTTTAACTTTGAGATTCTGGAAAAAAACAAACAGGAGAAGGATGATGAATTTAATCAACCGCACTCTTGCTCCCGTGTGTCCAAGTGCTCTGCTTGCTCAGCTGATGGAGTAACAGCGTATTAGAGGGTCATTGCATTGGCGGCTGAAGGAGGGGGAGACAGTACAGGTAGTCTGCTACCTGCTACTACTGGTGTAGTCTGCTGTACATTGTGTCAGCATACCTTTTGTGGAAAATTGCCACAAGAGTGAAATTTACATTTAAATGTTAAACAGGAAAAGGAGGGTTTTATATTCAGAGACTAAAGGGAATCTTTTGTTGTTCTCTCAGTTCATCTGCCTGAACACTGACCAGCCAGCATGTACTCAGTGGAGGACATTTTAACAACAGTGTTTCTGTTGATTGTGTTTTAAGCTCGTCTTCCTCAAAATAAGACCACGCTTCCCGTAAACACTGTTGCTTCCAGTCAAAAAGAGGATGTTTCTACCGGTCTTGCTTCCTCCTCTGCTGTCGTTCCATACACATTTGTTTTCTCCTTCACTTTACCGAAGGCAATTAACTTGATGGCTTAAGAGACCAAACAATAGATTATGTGACCGGAAAAAGACATTCAGAATCTATTAAACGTGGCATATTTGCTATTCAGACACGTCTCTCTTGCGTCATTCACACAGGCCTTCCCTCAGTCTCTGATCATCTTCTGCGGAGGGACCTACCTCAGATATCTTCTGGAACTGGACGTGGGCCTGGCTGCATTTCTCTGCCGTCTCTAGCGCCACCTTGTAGTTGTCCACAAAGGCCTTGTACACCCCCAACTGGCTGGCCTGTGGAAAAAGACACAACCAGCTGGTGTGAGACAATGATAGTGGCATGCACCTCTCCTTTATTTGCTAGGAATTGTAATTGTAAAAAGACAACTCTATGAGCAATCGTTTTACTGCCCAGAACATCAACGATTACCACACAAGAAACCAACACATAGAGAACAGACTGCAGCTTTCAGTCAACTTCAAATATCATTTGTATAAATTCTGACGTACAAAATGTCCCATATACCTATTCAAGTTTATATGGGGCAGATTCATTCATTTAACTTTCCCATTGGGATCTTTGCGTAGATCAGGAGGTTGCAAAGAGTTCTGCAGACCGTCTTTGGCTCCATCAGCTTGCTTTCACTTGCACGCGGTCTTCACTTCCTGGGCCCTTTCATTAGCCACGCTGTGTGCGCATTGTAACACAAGCTGCAGACCAGAAGCGCAGGAATATGCATCCTGCTGCAGCCTGGCTTGAATGGACGTACTGAAGAGCTGACTGCGACCAGATTTGGTTTCAATTGAATAGAGTAAATGAGTAAGACTTGTTACTTTTGTCTTTTACAGGCCTCCTTGCTCCAAATTTTAATTCCCTCTCCTTCTACTTCCCCTCGACGTGTGAAGAGAGGAGCCATGAAGGAACCACCGGCCTTATATGACCCTTATAAAATGATGTCGTAAATCAGTGGTTCTCAACCTTTTTTCAGCAATGTACCTCTTGTGAAATATTTTCCCTGCCACGTACTAGGGGAAATTTTTGGTAGAGAAAAAGAGGAAACACACATCGCTGACTTGGAGTTTTTAGGACAATAAAATTGAATAGCCTAATAAATCTAAAATTCAGTTTATGAACTTGTCTTGTGTTTTACTGAATATTTATGAAATAATGTTAAGGATTTGAGTCCCCCCGTTTGAGAACGGCTGTTGTCAAAAGCAGCAGATGACGGAGAAAATTAAACAAAGAAAATAGTGGTTTTGTGATGAACTCCTGACCCAAACATTTAGCCACATACGGACTTATTCGGACAAGAACTAAACAAGCCTCCCTGTCTGTGTATCATCTCTTCATAACTGGACACTTCACCAAGTCAGTCTTGGAGGGAAGGAAGAAGCCTCCATGAGATTGATGAAGAGAGGATATTCGACTTGGCAGCTCGGCTGGAAAGCACAAATCAAACGCGGTGACGTGATCGGGGTATTTTTAAATCGGCTCACCTCTCCAGTTACGTCCGTCACTGGAGACGCAGGACTTTGAGCAACGCTCCGAGCACAGCGCCCACACTTCATACAGCGAGATCACGGGTCAGAGTGGCGGGATGGAAAAAAAACAGCTCGTGTTTGAGAGCGGAGGCGGGATGGAGGGAGAAGGGGAGGACAACGCTGGAGTCCCGTCTAGAAATAGACCTTTTCTAGTGGTTCAAAATGCCCTTCAGATAACTTGAATCCTCACTGGCACGTTGAGAGCCCAACGACAGTTTCTAACTATATCTTCTGCTAAAGCCCTAAATGCAACGCACAACTATGTAGTCTAAGACTGAATGTCAACAACTCAACACTTGTATTAAAACTATTAAGCTATATTCAGCATAATCAGCTTTTTTAAATAAGCAAGATCTGTATTGTGGACAGGTTTGACTACAACCAAACAACGAAATGCATAATCAAAAATATTTTACATGCAGCACTATGGTGTCTACAGTGGCCACAGATCCTCTTGTTGCCAAATTAAGGACCTAAATACTAACATCAGCATGCTATGATGCTTACAATGATGCACCTTAGCACGATACGACCATGTCTTCATTTAGACGAGTAGTGAGGATGATGGCGTATTTGGTCACAGATTTAACTTTAACTGATTGATGTGGGCGAGCAATGAAAGAAATACGCCATATCTAACGTCATTAATGTGACATCAATGTTTGCGCCACATGTTCATCCATCCAATAGTTGTTGACATTAAGCCAATAATGTCAACCTAATGTGACCATTCTGTTTCGATGCATCCAACGGTCATGGCGAGAGATTAAACCCACTTAACATGTCATCAAATGCAAACCTAGCAGTCGGGGCTTCAGCTGAGCCCCTTTTCTGTCAGAAGAAGGTCAGAATAACTGTGGCAGGCTTCAACCCCCCCCCCCTTCTGCCTGGTTCCTGCCTCTCGTCACTCTTTGTTGCTTCAGCGCCCCCCCATGCTGCGGACCAGGAGCAGACCAGATAATTACACGCCATCTGTACTGTCACATCGTCACTCTGACTAAATGTTTAGCCGCCTCATGACTCGCTCATGTACGGACAGATGGCCGCTGAGGACTACACTAATAGGTGTCACTTGGTGGTGAGAAGAGAGAAGGGGGGGGGCACAAGTACTTAAAAGGATTCTGTTTCTACCGATCAAACTCTGAGCTGCAAACGCCTTCCAAACATCAACATTTGTACAGTCTGTGATCATCGCAATAATGATTTACGGAGGAAATATCACCCCAAGTGACAAGATAAAGATCTTGTGTTACCATGTTAACACATTTCAGTAGTTAAAAAAAAAAATCAGTTCAGAGTTATCAAACTTCAACACCAATTATCAGTCTGTGCTTGAAACATGAACCATGAACAGCAACGTAGACTGAAATGGTTCATTTCTGTGGCGTTGTTTCTGTAAATGATTTGTTTTCCACTACAGCAGTTTTTTCAGTTATGAGTTAACTAGCGAGCTAATTTTAGTTACTTAGGTCAATTCACTGTTTTGTAGTAAACACATCAGAGTTGAGCACGACAGAGTAGCAAAGTCGATGGAAGTTACCACAGTGCTAAAAAACAGCTAAAGGGAAAGCGGTTTCCTTGGTTTATTCCTTTGACTTAAATTTCTGATAATTTCATCGGGTTTTTTTCATCGGTGCATACTGACTGAATTTCAAGCTGCGATCATTGAGTCACAGTGGATTACTGAAAATAACCCATGTTTTGTTTTGTTTTTTACATAAAAATGTACATGAACCCAGTGTTTCCCCTTGCAGTATAACAGCACACTGACATGCTGTTATAAGTGGCGATAAACATCTGTTGAAGCCTCGGCTTGGTTAGAGACTGTAGCTGAGTCATTGACGATTGGCTGAGCGGAGCAGAAGCATGTACTTCAACCTTACAGACAACAGGAACACCTTGTTTTTGCCTTGAAATACGGTATATGATGACAATAAATTCAGACCTGCAGTCAAACTGTCCACCAAGACATAGTTACTCTTCATACGTTCCACTTTCTTTCTAAAAAGAGCGAAACAGATGTCCAGAGTTAATCTGTCCGAGCTGACACGGCACTTATTCTTGTCCTCTAGACCCAACAACAGCATGCTCGTGATTTGGAAAAATGGATCTCGCAAAGAGACATCTGAGTAACATGCAGCTCATTAGTGAGAATAAATGACGTCTCCTAAGATCCAAACACAGGGTGCGAGCTGAAGCCGGGACATCGTCCACTGATCCCATGTCACTAAATTACATATTTGTGTGGAATGATGCTTTATTTCATTTCTATAAATGACAAGACATTGTACATTATCTTTTTTTTTTTTTAAAACACAAAATGAGGCTGTAAACGTCCCAGTAATACAACCAGCATAACAAAACATTTAAATAACTGAAATAATTAATAATATAAATGGCCAAAATCCTTTCATTCTCCATTTTCTGTGTAAAGAGTTCCTAACTGTGGAGAAAAACCTGTTTTTCCTGTTGGGTTAAAGAGGCTGGCAGGTGTTCACAAACACTTTCTCTAAATAGAGAACATGTTTGTCCGTCTAGTTTCCATTCCAGGAAAATTATAACCCGCCATTTTCTGTCCCCACAGTGGGACGTAGTCACGGTTTATTTGACCTACTGCTCTCAGTACTGAAGTGAACAACCTCTCCTGATGACTGCCTCTGCTCTTTACACCCTTCATGTATACTATATCTCTACGTGGACTGACTTCTCCTGCGCGAAGTCCAGTTTCTTACATCCCTGCTGAAAGTGTCTGTCAGCCACTCCACAGTGTGCCGACAGGATGTAATGAGCATCTAAAAAGAGAGTCGCTCTTAAAGCAAATGTGACAATTTAAAGCTGAGGAGTGGAACTGTGCTAATTCTATAAAAAGAACACACACACACACACACACACACACACACACACACACACACACACACACACACACACACACACACACACACACACACACACACGATTAAGTAAGTGATTCCCAGAGTACAAATAGCGTCTCACAACTTTTCTTCTAACGCTTATTTAATTGTACCCTGCAAATGATGGGAGAGGGTGAAAAAGAATTAAATAGTAAGAAACACGCTGGAGAATCTGAGCCCTCGTACGACTCACCAGCTTCTGGAACAAATGTCCCACGGTGACCTTCTCGTCCCAGTGCTGGATGTTGGGCAAGAGGGCGTCGTAGAACTCCTTGTGGATCTCAAAAATGTCTTGGATTTTGTAGAAGATGGTCTCAACCTGCTGGATGGTCAAGACGGGCTGCGAGGTTGTGGCCGTGGCTTTTAGCGGACGCATGGGCTGGATAATCAGAGAAATTAGGTTTATTACAACTTTTTTTGTGTTCTTGTCCATTTCAAACATCCTTTGTGAAGCTGTACAAAGCATCGCACTATGGCATCAGGTTCTGATAAAAATGTCTAATTTAGGAGCAGACTTTGATTACGACTACAATTTGAGGCAGTTATCTGCCCAGTCAGAGGCCAAATTGGGCCTGTGTCTGGAAAGAGGGAAAACATATCTCAATCTGTATCTTTCTATGAATCACCCAGTGATCATGTTTACTATAACTGACTGTTTCGGCAGTGCACTTTTCAGAATGTCCTCAAATCCTTTTGTCTTTATCATCTTACTCTGTGACACATGCAATGTTGTCCTGAATATTGTAGAAGATGGGTTACGGTTCATGGAACACAGAAAAGGCAGCTCCGTGTTGAATTTAGCAGACTTTAACGATGTGGCGCTAGATTTAAGAACGGGACTTCCGTGAGCGAGAGGCCACAGACAGGCTCTGTACTGCTGGATATTGTATCATCACTGGTGTCGTCACTAGTGGCTGAAAGAGTGTGTCTGATGTCAAACTGACTACAAGTTGGCCAAAGTGCACCATGTGGTTGAGAGCGGCAGGATATGACGGGATATGTCTGCGCTTTGGGGAAGCATGTTCAGAGAGCGCTACTGCGAACTGCAGCCAATGTGGTCTTTGCTTTCGGTTTGACCATCAGCCACTAATAAACTGACAGTTCTCAGAGGCCCCTTCCCTGCATCAGGTCCTGCTTGGTTTTCCCACATGGTCTGTTTCAAAACAGTGTTTTTTTTTGTTTTTTTGCAGTGTGTGTGTGTCGTACCAGTAGCAGGGCCTCCAGTTGGTTGATGTAGATCTCCTCGCTGGCCAAGAAACCAGACAGCACCAGTTTCTTCATCTCCAGTCCTTTCTCTATTCCTCCCTGCAGGAGACACGGATGTAATAACAGCGTTACCGTACACGCGTAATCCTTCAGGTAAACCACTTGTATCCCGGATTAATTCCATGACGGTGCGGTGACTCAAGCTCATTGACTGACTGATGGTACTGCAGTTTACCACAGCAGGTAAACACACACACACACGCAAAGTGTGTACGAATGAGCAGAAGCTGTATTAGCGAGTCTATAAACATGCAGATGACTCGTTTCCTCTGTGGGAAAATCGTACTCCTATGGCTTCCAGACAGTTTTATTTTGAATATATTTTGGGAAGTCATGAAGCAAAAGCAAAACAGAATGCACGGATTTTCTTTCTGCCTTCGGTGAGGAAAACGCTAGTGGGAGTGAGAATTCTTAAAAGGATTTAAAGGAGAGAAAGTGTCTGCAGGCAGTGAGACAGAAAGGTCAAACGGGAGAACCGTACTTTTCTGTAATTCATCTGTTTTGGGTGGAACTATAGACACCTCACGTGGTTTTAAAAGAAAAAGGGGTCCAAAAGTACTACGGCCCTTAAGAAAGCCAAACATATACTTGATTAAAAAGCACTTCAAAGTATGCACCTCCTACTTATTTGACCCTATTTTAGTTTTTAAAATATAAATCCATTACATACAGAACAGAAAAGAGGCGAGTTTATTTAAATTGCACAATTCAAAGCGTCGTGACTGAAATGTCAAAAGACAGAGTGCAAATGAAACACATTCATGTAAATATAATTAAAAACTATCATTTAAGAGCCAAGGGAATAGTAAACATGCTAAAAATAGAATAAGACCAGTATGAAATGAATAGTTTAGCTGTATAATAAGTTGAATAAAAGACAGGAGCAAACGAAAAAAGTCTTCAGCCTTGATTTGAAAGGCGTGAGGTGTTTACTCTCGTGTACCAGGCGACCCGGGGGGTCTGATTTAAGCATTTAGTTCAACTCGTGTTCAAAACCATCTACGCAACTTGTTCCTAACAAAGTTGGAGGAACACGTGAATACGTTAATTATTTGTGTGAATGAAGAGTGTAAAAAATAAAATATTATATCCTTTTTTATTTTACATTTGACAGTAAATCGACACATTCACTCGTTGCGGATAGAGACACACTACAGCCAGAGGGACATAGTGTCATATGGACTTAAAGGGAGGTCAAAGAACAGCCATGATAGCAGAAAGGAAGATTAATTATTAACACGACCAGATCCTTAAGATGCAGTTGGCACACCGGCGCTTCCTGATAAGACTGAGGCATTTTATTAACCCAATCACCACTGACATCCACCTTCTGTCCCTTGTGTTTTTCCTCACAGGTGGAGGTACAGTGTGTAGCCGGGGCGCCATACACAGACGTTTTTGGAAAGTTTGTTAAGGAGATAAGTTCACATATTCAAGTTCTATTGATGCGTTATCGTGGAGCCTGTGAGAGTTCCAATGCTGGTATTCCTCTTTGAGAAGCTGAAAGAAAAGTTCTCCTTTCTGACAAAAAAGGCAGCACTACAGACGAGTCACATTTCCTCTTGAGACTCTTAGATGCGTCTCTGATATGCTAGGCTGCAGGCTCATCGTTTATTCTAAGCACCACAAACCATGTGTGCATGTCTCCGGACCCCTTGGTTTCGATAAAGCACATTGTGCTTTTGCTGAAATGACACGAGATCCGTGGACTCTCCCAGTTTCACCGTCAAAGCAAACAAGTATGTGTTGATTACGTTAAAGAGCTCAACTCCTTCAGTGAAAAAACACGCCGCAGCAAGATTACAAAACAAACCAAAAAAAAAGCAAACAGGAAAGAGAATTAGAAGTGGAGGAAAATATCTTTTTTCCACCAGAGTGGGAATATTTTCCGTCGGTTGTACAAAGAGCTACTGTGTGGCGAGAGGGCGAGATGAGAAATAGATGAGCGGTGAAAGGATTTTTCTTTCCATGGTAACCTGCTCCTGTTTGGAACACGCTCACTTACGCCATGTGCACTTTCCAGCTACACCTTTTTCTGTATTATATCGCGCCCTCTGCTCTGATTCGGTGTGATAAAAGGAGCTGATTAGAAGAGTGACTGGGAACGAGTCACTGCAGGCAGCCCTGCCATTTGTCCATTCATCTATGGGAGGAGTGCACACGTGCGTACACACACTCCCACACAAACACAGGCTTCTTAACAAACATAAGTTAGTGTCAGGCCTTTTTTAAAGCAAGGTTAGAATATGTGCTCAAGAGTAGCTGCCTCATCAAGCCACGCTGACTGACACACACACACACACACACACACACACACACACACACACACACACACACACACACTCTCTCCTGCAGCATAGACTGCTCGCAAAAAGGCAGTGCACTGCCGGGAAAAGATACCAATAAGACTTCAACTTTGCTATATATAGTCACGCTCAGGTCCTGTGAGGATGTTAGTCGCACAAGTGTGTAATGTGTGTGTGTGTGTGTGTGTGTGTGTGTGTGTATCCCCTGCATCCAGCAGTCCAGCCGCTGTCTCACCTTGAACTGTCTATGTGTCGGAGTGATGGGATCCAGCTCCCCATCTCCATATTCAAACACCTCCTCCTCCTCCAGCACCCTGTCCAAGTAGCACAGCACCTCCTCCTCTTCCTCCTCCATGATTCTGTCTTTCTCCCCTTCTCTCCCCTTTCTGCCCGAGACTCCCTCTCTTCAGGGCCTGCCCGGACACATCGAGGTTTTCCCTTCAGAGCAAGTCATCTGGACACCGAGAGACGGAAAGAGGGAGAGAAAGAGAGAGGACTCCGCCTACGCAACCCCACCCCCTTCCTCTGCTGGGCTTCCTGGTGTGTGCGTGTGCGTTCTTTCAGTGTGTGTGTGTGTGTGTGTGTGTGTGTGGCACTGTTCCCCTCGGTCGATTTCTTCACGCCCCTCCCCTCACAGCAAACACTATCCAGCCACTTCCTCAGTGTGAAGCACTCCGGTCTGCTCCTCCCCGTCGCTCCGCTCTCCCTTCGCCTCCTTCTTTTGTATATCTTCAGGCAAAAAGGCACTTGCTTCGGACGCACAGTGGCTCTCTGTTCCTCCAGTGGCCAAGTGCTTATGCCTCCCCCCTCTCCCCCGCCCCCCCTCTGGCCATTGTGTCTTTATTGATTTGCTGAGCCTGGGATGTGGGGCTGAAAATGGCTGATGTGCTGCGGCTGCCGATTGTAATTACAGGTCACGCAGTTTGCTGGTCAGACAGCGGTTAACTACAGCAGAACACGGGGAGGAAAATAGCGTGCAGAACATAAAATGACAATGAAATGAGGAAGATGAAGGCGTCAAGAGAAGCGTTTAGGGAAATCAATAACTCTGGCTGCTAGAAAAGGAAGTGATTGACTTGTCCCGAGCAGGAGGCGAGGATTCATCTATGAGCTTGTGCGTACTCTTCGCACCCTCCTGCTGCCTCGTAGGCAGCACTTCACAGGAAGTCTGGTTCCCAAACGTCAAACTTACTTTACAAGCACAGGCCTTAAATAGAGCACATGTATGCCTGTGAATATATTCTCTTTCATTTTAAGCCATTATTAAGGGCGGAAGAAAGTAAGAAGACAAAAGAAAAAAGATAACGTGAGGTCTAAAGAAAGACAGAACTTGGGGGCCAAAAAAAGAATAAATACAGCGAGAATAAAAAAGAAAATGGAGAAAACAAAAGCTTAAAACTAGTCAAGTCCATTAGATTGACATCACCCCAAATCACAAATTTGCCTCATTTAGCATCCTGTATCCTTTGACCCTGCAGTCAAAACAAGGTGAACCCTTCAATTCTCTAGAAGAAACAGAAAAGAAACTATGGTTCTAAAGCGTCCCAGAATACAAACCTCTAAGTTTATTTATCCCTCATGCATGTGATTTACAAACGCGCTCCTCACGCTGAATCTATGAATCCTGGCGCGGTGGCGTCTGCGCTGGCTCTCACGTCAGCAGATGATATGCAAACTCAGCGGAAAAGGGTCGACTTAACAAGGTGGTGAGGAGATGGACGGCTTCAGTGGAAATAGACTTTCATAGTCCACGTGGCTGCAGCGTCTGATCCAAAGCCTCCACAGACAAACAGTCTCTGGCTGCATGAAAGCAGCGTGAGCTGCTCCGACTCAGCGTGCCGCTAAAGGGTAGCGCAGAATACGGAGAATAAACCATCCAGAACTTTAGATCTAGATTACCAAGAGCAACATTATGCTTGTAATAATTCTTGAACTAATGTAATGTAATAAGACTTTGTACTGTAAACCTTTTTTAAAGTTTACACAAACCAAAAGCACCGCAATTGAAATAATACTATGCAGCTCCTTATCTTTTATTTCACATATTGAAGGTATCGCTTCCTGTCTGCATTGTATTTTTTTTCTATTTACATTTATATAATTTTTTACACGTTATTATTTTTATTTTGTTTATTGTTTCTTTATATTTTCCAGTACTTAATTTATCTATTTTTTGTGAATTTGTGTGAAAACCTACTTTGAGAGCAATCTGGTTTTGATCAATCTGATCAAAAAAAAGAAAAGGAAAAGAAAAGAAAGCCTTTGACACCACAACACACGTTTTTCAATTACTTAAGACCGTCTTTTATAGCGACCTTTTTTCTCTGTATTGGTGGAGTTGGTGGTGTAAGTGGAACTCATCATTTACCAGTGAAAATACTAAATTCTACTTTGCTTCTTGCAACAAGTCATTGAACTATTGCTTTAACTCATAGATGGTTTCATCATGCCTCTTCTTATGCCACATGTCCACTAGATGGAGACTCCTTTTCACTTACAGGACCTAAGCTGTGCAAGGAGTGGCTAAATTCAAGAGAACCGGAAGTTTAATAATTCATTAATCACCACTATAATAAAGGCAATTCTCCAGGCCACGTTGTATTTACATTACCAAGATATACGGTGATAACAGAGCTGCTTGGAAAAAGGATAAGAAAATAGCCGATGGGAGGGAGCAGGCAGAGCAAGGTGGAGGCTGGCGTTGAGGGAAGTAATGAGAAAATATCAGGAAGCTGAATTAATGCAGCTCAAAATAAAGAAACGTTCAGCGTTTCTATATTCGTGCTTATTGCTATTCTTGGTCAGAAGGTTGTGTAAACTCCAAACTGACCACTTCCCTCAACGCCAATTGATGAGCAAATAAGAACTGCAATCGTGTGACATATATTCCTCATCCACACACAGTGTGTGGATAAGTGTGGCAGACTGGTTCCGCTCCTGTGGATCCCCATACGGGTCACAGGCAGCGTCCTGCTACCTGGGAATACACACACAACCTGTGGTGTGCTGCACACGGTGCGCTCAATGTGGCTAGTTGCCAACAGTTAAACCGGGTCTACTTTGGTACAGATCCTACTCCTCCTACTGCTTATTACAAGGTGAAACACCGACTGAGGAGGAACCAGCTTCAACTGGAGTAAAGTCCCGACACGGTGATTAGGGCTGTCACGAAATCTAATTTTTGTTGTGCAAGTATTGCATCAACTTTTATTGCGACATACGATATTATTGCCATTCATCACATAATGACAATATAATAGCATAGTAATACAAGTACGCTCTTTCAACGAACAGGTGGACATTAGAATCGGAATTTGAAAAAAAAAATCCTAAATAAATACAACAAGATTGCTGCTTTGTAACCGGGTCCATTTGGACTTGTTTATCCTAATTGCCTGTAGATGTCAGATGAAAAATAACACTTCATAACACGGTGGGTTCACGCATTCGCTTCCCCTGTGTGTGTCCGCTCTGCGTGTGGAGGCGCTGCCTAAGCCCCGCCTCTGACAATGAAAATGTATGTAAAATGAATATCGCACCACCAAAAAAGATCGCGCTCATTTTCCCATATTGATGCGATATTGCATATCTTGACAGGCCTAACGATGATGCAAAACATCATGTAAAACATTTTAAAAAGCTCATAACGTTGAACCTTTAAACTGAAGTCCCATGGCCATCATATGGCAATACGGTTGGGGAGCGGATGCATGCACGTTCATGCAAATAAATAGACATTGAAATGATTATTTCTATACATGCATACTCTTACCCCTGCCAGCAGGCCCTCGGGTGGTGTAGGGGACACCGCCTCTCCGTCGGGCCCTTGGGTCGCGCACAGTTGGGGCGACATGGTGGGGGATTCGTCTATGAAGGGCAGCGTCTCCGAGCCGTCCTGGGACTTGCCGTCCTCCGCTCCGTCCCCCTCGTAGCCATCTGTGTTGTAGTTGAAGTCTGGGAGGGAGAGAGCGAAGCAGAAGGGCCGGTTAGCATTTTGGCCGCGGTGAAGAACGCCACCACGACTCAGTGGGAACAATCTGGAACTTCCTCAAGGCTATTTTTAGCAAACCGGGATTCTCCTTTCACCCAACAGTTATTGTGGCACGACACATGTGACAAGAAAAAACACCAAAACTTCTTTAATCACACAGAATAGCATTGGATTGCTAAATCGGGTGTGAAGCTCAACGACACCCAACAAGCTGAAAGCACAGCGTGAAACAGTCGAGCACAGATGAACTGGTTTCAGGGCCAGAACTTAGAATACTACGGAATACTACTTTTTCTCTGACGCATTAATTTCAGAAATCCGGGAGCCTTTTCCACCACATAGACAACGTAGTTTTATGAAAAAGGCAAGAGGCCAAACACTTCTTTAAAGATATCGAATCTTCCCCTGTGCTGAGGATGCTCCAAAGCAGCACACTGCACATGTACGTCTGTCCCTCAAAGTTGCATTGTTGTGTCCACGCATTTCAGTCTTTTGGATTCATACATTGAGCTTATTGAGCGTGGCCATTGACAAGGCTGGCAGTCATGCCTGAGTAGCAGTGGCAGCTACAGTGGAAAGGAACAATTCAGACTCCGAAATCACTCCTGCTCGGCCTTCACACACGCACAAAAAAAAATATATATATATATAACACACATTAAAGAAGTGAAATAAAAATACATAAAAAGCCTCTGTGAAAAAAAAGAAGCTTGGTCGATGCTTTTTAAATGCGATTCCTTATTAGAGGAGATGTGTGACGGCGAGAACCAAAGACGTACTACAACAAATAGCTCTTTTTACCATAAGCAACTTAAAAAATATCTAAAAACGGGTTGCGTATACACTTACACAGAATTAAAGCAGAACATGCACCACGGTTTGTGTAACTTCAGCCATACAGCCGTTGGCTGGTGAGAAAGCAGAACACAATGCTTGAAATGCAAAGTATGTGGGACGTGCGTGGGTGAGCCTCGATGACCGCACAAATGTGCCCGAGAGGTTGCATGTGCAAGTAACATGCAAGAAGAACTAACGAACCGCAAACGACAACCAATGTGAAAACAAAACGGGATGACTCGCACCACACCCAGGAGACGGCAGTCATCGGGACAGGACATTAGTACACTTCCAACTGTGCTGTGATCGTTCCGTAGAAAAAGATCTGCAAGCGCGTTTGTGCGCGTTTGTTTTCTCGTTTCCTCACTGACACCTTCTGACATCGGGACAGGCTAGTTTGTCTAATGTCAATATATTTGTGAGAGTTAGGATTAGAATTAGGATTAGTGTTAGGAGCGTAGGATAAAATAAAAAGACGAGAGGTGATGAAAGTGAAGATAATTACCCGAAAGTAAAACAGCGCAACACAAGGTGGATGTTTTGTAAGCTCAACTGTGAGCTGCAGGGATGGATTGGTAGCACAGAAAGACTCACACGGTGCACTCAACGAGGCACGTGTGTGTAGAACAGCACAGAGGTCTGGTCCCTCCTGTACAAACTATTTGCAGAAACATCAATAAGCATCAGGAATCATTGAGAAATGAGTTGGCTGCTGTGTGCAGAGAGCCAGTCCATCACCAAGAACAGATTTGATACATACTGAAGGACAAAGCAGAGAAAACTGCCCACGCAAGCATTTCCTTCTCTTCAACAGCAAAAAGTCCCCTACGACCAGCTGAAGGTAGCGCTCATAATAATCTACAAGTAAGTTGATCATTGCAGCGGTTAGAAAAATGAATATCAGTCACGTGTGTTCATGTTTATTTGCTCTACGTCCGACTGTTGTCTGACTTGACAACCCCGTCCGTGCGTGACAAACGGCAAAAACAATGCCGCCCTGTCAGGTCATTGGAGAGCATTTCTGTGGAGAGGATTCATCAGCCCAAACCGGTTAAAAACTTCTCCAAACAGCCACATTTGACAGGGTATAAACTGGGGAAGGCAATGAAACAGGCGATAAAGTCCGGAAAAAGGAGCGCTTTGCAGAGGAGGAAGGTCCTATGGAGAAATCAACACACACACACACACACACACACTCACCGTCATAGGACACGAGAGAACGGACGAAACACAGGGCTTCGAAGAAGAAAGTCATGAGTGCGCTGGCAAGTGATGAACGCCGTCTGACCGGAGCTCCTTCACTGCTCGGGATCCATGTCACCAAAACCGCGAGGAGAACCTTGTGTCTCAGCTTAAGTCCCACTGGTCCCGTTTCTTTAAAAGCCTAAAAAGCTGCACCGCAGCGAGAGCGTTATGGTTTGGACGTGCTCCCCGTTGAATACATGCGGTATCCTTTATGGAAAAAAACTCATTCAAATGAGGGCTGGCCGCTGCATCCGAAAAAGCAACAGGAGGCAGGAGGAGGAAGCAACAGACTTGTGCGCACAAATTGTACTGGATGCATCAACATTTTCCACTAAATAGTGTCACGTCACTTCCCTGCTAGCCAATAAAGACAGCCTGGTTTGATGACTTATTGGTCACGCAACCTTTTAGATTAACAACGTGAGTGCGTGCGCATTGATAATAAGTACACTACACGTACCGCACAACTGGGAGTCAACCAACACTGTATGATCATCAACGTAAAGGAAAAGCCAAGCGCACCAGAGCAAAAGACTGCTGGTTAGGAAATTATTCCAATCCTGTTGTGGCAGATTAAAAGACTGTATCTGTAACTCCAACAAACACCAGCCTGTTGCACTGTTTTTCAAATAGGGAACCAGGTACGTCATGCAACCAGACTCATTTGTAAATGTAAATCAGGGGTCGCCAACGGAGTCGCCCGCTGGCATGATCAAAAATGTCTCTGGTCACTATGAAGCTCGGTCTAAAATTTATGTTGCGTTTCTTTTTTTACTCAAAAACACTTGCATTAATGTTTGTAGACTTTAAAATGACAATATTTAATATAAAATGTTATAAACTGAAATGTTTTATTTATATGGACCTTGTCAGAAGTCAATGTTTAATATTGTGTTACTGACACCATGGGCAAGAAAGCAAAAGAAAACCTTCGATTTACACAGTGATTGTTGAAGTTTTTTTTCCCCAGTACAAATTAAAGACATGTGTGTCTCATTTGTGGGCCAAACCAAGCGACACAATGTGAAGACACACTTCAGTATGTGTCACCAAAGCTACGATGCTAACTGCGGAAAGAAAAGGCCAGTGACTTGAAAGCAGCTTTGGGCCAACAAGAGTCTGTTTTCATGAGGCCGCCGATGAAAATCATAAAAGGCGACTGAAGCTTCGCTTAGAGCCGCACAAGCCTTTTCGGACGGGGAGGTCTTGAAAGAAGCAATGATGCAAGTTGCTAACACCGTGTTCAAAGACGAGAAAAAGGGTCCCGATGCCATCTCCACTCTCTCCAACATCCGACTGGGTGAAAGCACGACTGTTAGAAGAGTGTCGGCTATGCCGGAAAACTTGACGGAGCAACTGGACGGGGATCTGAAGTGCAGGCGGTTTAGCGTCCAGTGCGAGGAGTCTGTGAACCGCACCAGTACAGCTCAGCTGATCATGTTTATCCAAATGGTGTTTGATGATTCTTCCACAAAAGAAGAAGTCCTGACACTTCTGCTTCTGAAGACAACAAGCGAGGGGAATTGACATTGCAGTGCAGAGCTTGACGGGCCGGCATGAGGGCTTCACCGTGCAATGCAAAAGGTGACCCAGACTTCCCAAAATGTCTACCGGTACATTACCACTGTCATTCACCAGCAAGCGCATTGTGCAAAATTAACCTGCTTCGATTATGTGATGACTCCTGTCGTAAGGATCACAAATGGCATCTGCTTTAAGAGCCAGTGCTATTAGAGAAGCTGTCAGCTGAATATGGGGACCTGCTACTGCACACAGAAATCAAATGGCTCAGCAGGTGACCATTTTTTTTTTTTGCAATCCAGAGGGGAAGATGCTGCTCACTGCTGGAGGACACGGAGCAGATACTTGACCTTGCATTTTTAACGCACATCGCGGAGAAACTGAACCATTTGCACTGTGAGCTGCAGGGCGAAGGTAAATCTCTTGCGCTGTCAATGCATTTAAAGCCAAGCTGAACATGTTCTCTGTGCATTTACAGACAAAAGAAGTCAAGAGTTTGAGAACAGGTTGTGACTTTCATCAACTTGAGCCACGTGTGTATTGTTCACTTCAAACCCTTTCATGCAAGTCGTTTGACGCCAAATTGTTGGGGCCTTGTGTACACAGAGAAGTACGGAGTGTATGCACAGCAGCTATGACCATCAGGGTTGATTCCGGGAATATTCAAAGTTGGAAACTTTCCACGGGAATTAACAGGAATTAACGGGAATATACGGGAATTAACGGGAATAAACTGGAAATTTGGGGGTAATTTAACTGTATTTACCTTGTCATAAGCAGACATGCTCATTGAACAACAAAAACATGAACGTTGAATAAAAAAATCACCACCCCCAACCTAAATTTTTTCCCTGAATCCTTTTAGGTCTAAATGCTTTCTTCCTGGACCTCATCAATGTCATGTCGATGTCGACATCTGACTCGCCGCTGAAGCATGTGAAATGTATTTGAAATAGGATTTCTGTTCCCTGCTGGCACTCAAAATGCAGCCCATACTATATGTTACCGGTCTATATAGGCCTACTGCTTATAATAATCAGCTACCTCTATTTTTGTGACGGTGACATGACGTCATACAAAATTGCCCCACCAGAAATTTCAGCCTAAAATTGCCACTGGTTTACGTGTACGTTTCTGGCAGACAATGTTCCCAACCAGCTGCATTCAGGGTCCAGCTAAGCTAGACGTGGATAGTCTTATTCTCAACTACATTTATGTTCCCTGTTATATGCTTTTGCAAAAAAACTTTAGCACATTATTTTTTTCAAAATTCCCGAGGAAACTTTCGCGGAAATTTACCGGAAACTTTCCGCCCCTTTGCAACCCTAATGACAATTGCCTGTCTTTTTAGTTCAACCCA